AAATTGTAACCAGCTCAAAGCTTTAAAACAAACAAACCCTGTGACTAGTTTTGAGGACGTTGAAATTATCTGAACAGAATATTGATGTCTGGGTACTTCTCATTCTGTTTTCTGAAAACGTCTTCGCACATTGCATTTCTCTTTCCCATAAATGCTAAATGCACTTCATCTTTGTGTACACACTGCCCCTTTAGTTGTCCTGGCCAACATATTAAAATTTGAACTGGACTACTTTAGATCAAGAGTAGAAGAGTGAAGATTAGAGACATCCCACTGGCAATGAAGATCCGCATAGTTAAACAATGGTATTCCCCATAGCAACCTATGGATGTGAGAGCTGGACCATAAGGAAGGCTGAGCGAAGGAAGATAGGCATTTTTGAACTGTGGTGTTGGAGGAAAATTCTGAGAGTGCCTTGGACCGCGAGAAGATCCAACCAGTCTATGCTCCAAGAAATCAAGCCCGACTGCTCTCTGGAGGGAAGGATATTGAGGCAAAGATGAAATATTTTGGTCACATAATGAGAAGACAGGAAAGCTCGGAGAAGCGAATGATACTGGGGAAAATGGAAGGAAAAAGGAAGAGGGGCTGACCAAGGGCAAGATAGTTGGATGGTATCCTTGAAGTGTCTGCCTTGGCTTTGAAGGAGCTGAGGGTGGCCATGGCCAACAGGAAGCTCTTGTGTGGGCTGGTCCATGAGGTCATGAAGAGTTGGAAACAACAGAACGAATAAACAACAAACTTTAGATCAAGCCAAGTGGATTATTTTAAATTTAATAGTGATTCTTACTGAGTCCTTCCCTGATGTGAATCAAACATAAAGGTGAGTTTTGTATTGTGGCAATGGTGGCTTTCCTGACTCCCCTGGCTGATATCTGAACTACCTAGAGTCCTGGGATCCTCAAGGGAGGGCTTTCTCTTGGTCCTGCTACCATCTTATACACTTCTTTGGTGAGGACACAAGACAGAGCATTCTCCATGGCTGCCCCCATGGAGACTTAATAGCAGAGGGAAACCTTTACCTTTTTCCCCATATAAATCCTTATGCAATATCTGAAAAGATACTTGCATTATTCCTGGATATGTGTGGATATATCACCAAGATCATTCTAGGCTTTAGGTCACAAAGACTTACGCTAACATATTGTTGGCATTAGTGTCGATATCTGAGAGCCGTCAACAATGCTCTCTTGATAATAGCCACTAATGCTTAATAAGGGCACTTAAGGGAGAGTGTTTTGTGGACTTTTGAATTTTCTTTGATCTATAAAGGCAGACAATCATAATAATCAACAACAACAATTACTTGTGAGGAAGATTCTTTGAAATCCAAGTTTGGCAATTAAGGATTACCAAACACATGAGATGCATTTGATGAAAAGATGGTGTTTTATTGGGCACTCTTCTGATTTTGGATTTAGGATAAATTCAGGAATGGGAAAGATCCTTAATTAATTTATTTTTATTTCTAACACAAGAGCTTCTATCTGTGAAGATAACCTAGCTGTCATGGGAATGAATCTAAAAGTAAATCAAGTTTACAATTCTGATTGAATTTTTGATTGGAAGAATGCATAGGTGTAAATATCTTGGAGAACGCCTCATTCGAATGAAAGCAAAGCCAATTTATGCTGAATCTGCGTAGTTGCAACTACGAAGCGAGAATGAAAAGATGCCGTAGAGGGTTTTAGCATTATCCTGCTTTTATTAAATAATCTGTCATACTGAAGACTTGTTGAATGCCACAGCAGAATTGTAATTACAATTTTAAAAGCTCTTCTAATGAATAAGATAGGAATGACTGATTTCCAATCTGATCAGCTCTCATGACAAGTCTCTTCTCAAAGCTTTATTATGAAATAAAAAGCCGTAAGGCGCACGTGAAATAACCACCCATTTACAGCAGGGTTAAGCAACTTGAATTTTTTTTTTAAAAAGCATAAGTATGAGCAAAAACATTATGGTGAAGAAATTGCAATAGATTGAAGAACTATATTGAAAAAATGACAGAACAAATGAATAGGAAATTTGAAAACTCATAGTGAAGATGCTTAATATAACTCAGAGAACGAGTGTCACTGAAAACAACAAAATCAAAACTAAACAAAGTGACTGTGGGTCAGAAATGAGGTAGATGAAAACTGGCTACAGATCATGAAAACAATGGCCTCAATTGTGTGGTGAACTCTGAAAGAGATTACAAATGAAGACAAGAAGTCATGATGTGAGATGGGAAGCGTGATGGATCTTCTTCCTTAACCTCAAAGCACCGTATAAGGAAAAGAAGATTGCTTTATTATTACACTTCTTCATTTTTATTGCACCAGCCTCCAGTGGCGCAATGGGTTAAATCCTTGTGCCGGCAGGACTGAAGACTGATAGGTCGGAGGTTCGAATCTGGGGAGAGCACGGATTAGCTCCCCGTCAGCTCTAGCTTCCCATGCTAGAGAAGCCTCCCACAAGGATGATAAAACATCAAAACATCCAGGTGTCCACTGGGCAATGTCCTTGCAGACGTCCAATTTTCTCACACCAGAAGCAACTTGCAGTTTCTCAAGCCACTCTTGACATGATTTTTTATACCTATTATGCTCAAAAGGGTTGTTGCAATATACAGACAAAACAGCTATACAAATCCAGTGCTACTTGGCATTATTTGGCAATTGAAGACTTCAGTTATGATGTTCAAGGTATTCATGTAGAACATTCCTTTCCTAATAAAGAACATAAGACAATGTACATGACACTATTTTCAATTTCAACCCTCCAATCTTACCTTTTTTGGGGTTTCTATATTCTTCTAAGTATCAACCTTGTTTTCTAACGATTTCTTTCTTATATGTAGTCAAAACATTAAAAACAGGATTGAAGAAAATCAGTGCATTTGCATTCTATTTATCTAATCCCTTCATCCATCAGTGAAGCCCTGATTCTCACCAATATTGCTTTCTATTTGATACTAGATCCAAACATCACTTTTTTTTTATTAAACTCACTGGGATCTGACTTAGTTCTAAGTACAGGCATGGTTTAAACTCTTACTGACATTGTTTGAATGGCTTAATATGTATTTATTTTCTTTAAATTATCTATTGATTTCAATTTGGAGATGGTTCAGTAGTTTAGAGTTAACACTCCTGTTTAGCTGCCTGTGCCTGTTGAGAAGATTTCACTTCACTTTCTGTCTCTGTGATTATTGGATTTTGAAACATTTGGCTTGTTGTGCAAACAAGGATTGGTGACAAAGCTTCAGTGGAGACACCTTTTCCCCATGATAACTCTTCCAGGAATGGATTTCCCTTCTAAGGAGTAGATTTCTCTCACTTCCTGATGTCTCACTCCTGTTCTTATCTATGAGTTGTTTGTAAGTCGGATGTTAGTAACTCAGGGTCTGCCTGTATGTTGTTTTACTGTTTGCTACTCTGAGATCTCATGCTAAAAATATTTAAAGAAACAAACAGATAGATAAAAGTGAATGTGGAAGTATAGGAAAAAAATCCTCCACTGTACACATAGTTGTTCTTTTTTCTCTCTACACAAAGCACATATGCAACAACAAAGACTTTATATAGTTGGCATGTAGCTGATTTTTAGGATGCAATGTTGGGATTCTTTTCCTTTGTTGGACATTCTTGGTCAAAACCTACCAAAGCCCATATTTCAGTTGTGAGTATGTGGAGTGAGTTATAGATGTCACTAGTAGTATTTATTCAGGAGACTACAACAGAGGACATTTGTTTCCAAATATTCTTCTTTCCCAACTTTTACGACATTATTTCTGTTGCTTTTGTAAATGGGAGGCCAGGATACTGGTTGTGAATCAAAGACCCAAGCTGCGGTGGTGCAATGGGTCAAACTCTTGTGCCAGCTAAACTGCTGACCTGAAGGTCGGCAGTTTGAATCCACAAGATGGCGTGCACTCCAGTCTGTCAGTTCCAGCTTCCCATACGGGGATGGTAACACATCCGAGTGACCCCTGGGCAACATCTCTGCAGACGGCCATATCTCCCACACCAGAAGCAACTTGCAGTTTCTCAAGTCGCTTCTAACATGATTAAAAAAAATAATCAAAGACCAAGGAAGGGAATTTAAGCCACAGGGATAGTTCCAAACATCACTCCTTCTTTGCTATAATACTTGTTGGCGGTTTTCAGTTTTTCTATAATCTCTCTCTACTAAAAGGTTAACTTCACCCTCTTAAGACATAGTGATTTTCAGAAAGGTTAAAATATGTTAGTGTTTTTCGTTAACATTGGTTTTATTCTGTTTTTGGTTATGATGCATTTCTTAGATCAATTCTCTAGAAAAAGAATAAGGAGGAAAAGAAATGTGAAGCAGTGGTTTTTGAAACAAATTTCCTAAAGTATTTTTGAAATGGGTACATTTTTTATATTCAGGGCCAAGGTTATGACTGATGTTTTCTTATTTTTTTTCATAATGAAATGGGATGTCCTTGTCTCTTTTTATAGACAATTTGTGCTTGGAGCTCTTAGCAGATGCTATTAGACAGAATTACAGATTCAATGGATTTGAACACATTGGTTCAGAGCAGTGGTTCCCAGCCTTGTTTTGACCAGGGACCACTCTCCAAGATTAGTACCAAAAAGCTTACGAATTAGTTTTTGGTCATCTTCAGATTTGGTTTGGTTATTTGGGGTGCTGATTCAGAAAAATGGATTGGATAGACCACATCAGCTCTAGTTTCTGATATAGAACATATGCCATCCAGTAGTCACCATCTGCTTGCCCACAGAAAACCATATTTAATAAGTCTCGGCACTATAAGAGGGTTTTGTGAGACCAGTTGCACTTGTTGCAACGGTGTAGTAACAGTGAGGTTGTGGACCATGTTTTAGTTCTTGTGGACCACTGGTGGTCCATGGACCACAGGTTGGGAACCACTGCTTTAGAATTTTAAAATGTACTTTTCACAGATATTTTTTGTTGTTCATTTCAGCAGTCAAATCATTTCACTTAATTACGGCAATAATGACAGTAAGTCAGGCTTGTTGACCTTTTTTATTGTGAGATGGGGAGTCTGGTAAAAAACTAGAAAATGACCATGATGTAACAAGAAACTTAAAAAAAAGTTTCAGATTTGTAACTCACATACATGAAAACAGGAACAAATTGGCACAGAAATGTTAAACATTGTTCCCAACACTGTTTAGAAGATTATTCTAGCTTGGCTTACCTAAGAAAATGAGTGTTTTATGGTTAGGATAATCTCTTAATAAAACCGCAGAGCATCATGCTATTACACACAGTGAATTCCAAAATTTAAGAGCTTTATATTAAAAACTGGGAAAAGATAAAATGAATTGATTGCAATTGTAAAATTGATACATTCCCGTTTTAATTCTTCTCTTCTACAGTCCAAGGCAAGTATAAATGTTAACATAACACTGTTAAATCAAATCTCAATGCAAGAGAACCAATTGTATCTCTACTTTAAATCTTATCAACTTTCCAAATTTTCATACTAAAATATATTATTGTATTAATACAAACTACCGTATTATACACTACACTGTGTAATAAATAAAGAAATATAAAAATAAGACACATAAATATAAAAGTTTTCTAAAACTAAAAAGGTACATATGTCAGTAAGAAGGGTATTAATACTGCCAGGTTTGAAAACATACAGTACAAAATGTTGCACAGATCTAGAAACTAAAAGAAAATAAAATAATACTGATAGGTTAAATCAGCTAACATTGTCAATAAATGGGGTCCAGAATAACTAACATTTGGAAACATATGAGCCCAATAACATATTACGTATGTGTCTGAAATTAAGTGAACCGATAAAACAGATTAGACATTTCCCTTCGTAATTAATTACTCTAGAGAAATTCTCCAAGTAAATTATTAAAGAAAATAATAATAATACTGAAGAATTGCATTATGAAAATGTACCAGTGCTTTTGCTTTTCTAATGGCTGAGTGTTTTCCCCCCCATGATTTAATTTACAGAAGTTCAATACAAATCAACAAATGCTAGTTATTGTAGGCCACACATTGGAGAAAGGCTGGTCAGAGCCTTCAAAATACTGAGAAATGGCACTTACAGCACACAAGGTCTTGCATAAGGCCAAAGGAGATACAAAGCTTCATGTCATATCCTTCATATATATTTTTTTCTTTTGTGTTTTACGACATAGCCCAGAACATAATTACAAACACTGATTTCGACAACTTGGCTGTCCTCACCAGTATTAACACTGTTAGTCCCTGCAATCAGAAGCCCGCCACAATCTTTTCAAACTACGTTTTCAACCACATGAGTAAGAAACTTCCGTTCTTCTATCAGCTGCTTTCTTAAGGCTAACAATACACTTTAAAATGTATCTACGAACAACATCTAAATGTTATAAACCGCTACCTTCTATGCTCAATTTACAAAGGTAGTCAAGCACTGTTTGGAACTGCATCATACCTTTCTGCTTAAGGGAATTCTGTAGTGCAGAAGTTCTCACATTTTTTTAAAAAATATAATAAAATACTGAAGTGGAATTAGCAGAATTTGTCACTGATATATATTTCTTAAAAAAACAACAACATAAATCTCTCCCAATTGTACAATTGAAAAATTAAACCAACAACAACAACAAAAAAGGAAAATAATAATAATAATACTGATAAAAACCAACTGATGTCCAACACATATCAAATAAAACATGTTTCCTACAACATGTTAACTATTTGCTTCCAGAGCCACCATGTTCTTCTAATCTGTTTCAGGTCACAAACTTGTTCCTAACTTTTGAAAACTGTGTGAAAAATTATTAGGTTTGAGGTTCAGGCACACCTGGATATATATATATTTTATATTTTCTTGTTTCTTTTTTTTTTTTTTTCATTTTTGTTACACAGTAGTGAACAGGACTCACAGTGCACAGGCTACTGTGCTTCCATGAAAAGCATGTAGAGTATAGAACAAACTTCATTACCGGTTGAGATTTCTTTTCCTTGTACAAAACCACATCCTCAGTTAAGCTTCACTTGCTGCTTCATCTAACAATGGCTCCTCTTTCTGTACAACTTCTTGTTTAATACTGCTTTCTCCATTTACAGTTTCTTCAACCTTCAAGTTACCTTCAGTTACTACTTCTTCCTCACCTTCCTCCTCCTCTTGTAGTTTTCCACATTCTTTTTCGTTTTGCAGCCCCTCCACCTCTTTGTCTTCCTCTTCTTCCTCCTCCTCCTCTTTCTCACTGTCTTCTTCCTCCTCCTCCTCGTCTTCCTCTCTCGTTAAGCTCTCCCTCTCGTCCGAGTCGAGCGGTGAGGGAGAAGCACCAGCCTCGCCGTGCTCCCCACCCAGGTGCTCCTGTGCCACCTCATCCTGCTCTGTGCTGTCGCGTTCCTCTGCTTCCCTTTTGCAATAGGAGTAGCGGTGATTCATGTGCTGAGAGTAAGACCCCGAGTGTGAAAATCGCTTGCCGCATTTGTCACACTGATACGGCTTTTCTCCAGAGTGCAATCGCATGTGTTCGATCAAATGATGTTTGTGTTTAAATGCTTTCTTGCAGATCCCACATTCATGAGGTCTTTTACCTGAAAAAGAAAAACAATTGTATCTCACAACCGTTTTGTGTCCTTGTGTAACCCAAGTGGGATCACAATCTACTCAATGAAGCAGTCCCTACCCTGCTTGAGCTACAGCTACAAACCATACCTCACAGAGCAAATATTTTGAGAAAAAATGACTACTTAATTTAAAAATCAGTGTAATCTAGTGGTTTGAGTGTTGGTTCAGGACCCAGAGGAACCAGAATTCAAATTCCCATTGGGCTATGGAAATTCACTGGATGCCCATGGGAAAGCTCAATCTCTCAGCCCCCTTGAACAACTTTTGCCAAGAAAACTCTTAGGGCCATCATTAATTGGAAATTACACCCGATAGGTGGGCCCCCTGGTGGCACAGCAGGTTAAACCGCTGAGCTTCTGAACTTGCTGACCTAAAGGTTGGTGGTTCAAATCTAGGGAGTGGGTGAGCTCCTTCTCTTAGGGCCAGATTCCGCCAACCTAGCAGTTCAAAAACATGCAAATGTGAGTAGATCAACAGGTACCGCTTCTGCAGGAAGGTAAAGACGCTCCATGCTGACCACATGACCTTGGAGGCGTCTACAGACAACGCCGGCTCTTCAGCTTGGAAATGGAGATGAGCACCACCCCCCAGAGTCAGACACGACTAGACTTAATGTCAGGGGAAGTCTTTACCTTTTCTTACACAATGATAACAAACCTAATTTTTTGGGGACGGGGGGACGGGGGACACAATGGTGCAAAAGAAAAATACCTTAAACTTAATAAAAAAGTTGTTGTTAATTCTCCTTAGAGAAAGATTGAGAAATCAGTGGTTTAAGTGATAATTTCAGATGGACAATTTTGATTAATTAGTATGACCTTGGAGGCATGTACAGGCAATGCTGGCTCTTTGGCTTAGAAAAGGAGATGAGCACCACCCCCCAGAGTCAGACATGACTAGACTTAATGTCAAGGGGAAACCTTTATTGTTACATTTTTTGTGCATTTATATAATAATGATGTGTTTTAAGCTATGTTGTAATATGACTCGAGCCACAGGGAAAGGCAGGTAAGAAATAAAATTACGATTATTACTATTATTATATTAATTATTTATCCATACCAGGAGGCTGATCTACACCACAGTAATAAGCTTTAGACATTGACCTTCTTATTCACATACCTGTGTGTTCATATTTATGTCTCAAGAGTGAGCTACTCTTCTGGAATATTTTGTCACACAAATCACAAGCATACATTCCATTTTCTGTTTTTCTCATCTTCTTCTTCGGCGGTGTGGAATCAGAATCATTCTGATCCTCCACATTTGATACCCCTTCTGAGCTAGTGTCCTGTCTTTCATCCTAAGAAGTCAAGGAACAACATTCTCAAACTAATTAAAATGCAGTGTTCATGGAAGGCTGTACAATAAAGAGCAAAACCAATGCTTAGTTTTACTACACTTTGGCAACTTGTTGGAAACCCAGACAACATTTGTGTAGTGAAGTATCTTTGTTCTCATGAGCCTTCCTAATAGTTAATAGCTGTAAAAGCCACAAAACGGTGCATTCACAGTAGCAGATATTTATAGGAAAGAAGGACTTCCAGGTAGTACACAGAATGCTATTGTAAGTGGAAGCTATGGTGAAATAGCAATGCAATACAAAAGCATTTCACAGGAAAGGAGTTTACAGATTGAGGTAATTGGGTCAGCTGCCACTCAGTATCTGTTTTACTCTATCTAATAGTAATCTTATTGCTCCAGATCACATAACTTTTGTTTGTCGTTTCTCAAGAAAGATTCCTTTTATTTTATGGTGCTAGAAACATTGAATATCTGTTTACTACTACAAACTTCCCCCTTAACAAATCTGTATGCATTTAATGGATCTGCATTAGGGTTCCATGCTCAAACATTAAGGCAAAGTCCAGAAAATCATTTAAATTTCAGCTTATGTAAGCATTTTCTAATGTTATCAAGAAGCTAAAAAAAGAAAACAGATAACAATAAATTCTCATATGAATGTGCTCACTACATAATCAGCCATTTACAAACTGTCTTTTCCCTTATAACGTAAGATTAGATTTAGTTTTTAGACCAGATGCATAATAATATTAGTTGCATCTTGCTGGATGAGTGGGAAAGCTAAGCAATATTTATGAAGGAATAAGAACTCCCCTGTGAGCAGAAAATCAAATAAAAACTGGACTCATTGGCTAGGGTTCTGCTCTCAACCACACATGTGGTGTAAAAAGAACCTTGCAAAATGGCTTTACGGTTTGCAAGCATATACAATAGAGTCTCGGTTATCCGACATATACAGGCCAGCCTAACATTGGATAAACGAAAATGTCAGATAACACAGAGTCTCCTACTGTTAGCTGTCCGACGTGGTGCTAGACACCTAGAATACTAATAACAGGGACTCAAAGGGTTAAGACAAGGCAACACCTTGAGGCTAGAGCGGCCCAGCAGGAAGTGCCCAGATGCGGAAGAGGAGCAGAGGGAAGGAGAGAGGACGCTTCCACTTTCAATCCTGCCTCTTTCCCCCCTTTCTCCCTTTTCCTCATCACTTGGTAAGAGAGAGAGTTGGGGAGTGCTACTTTAATTGAAGGAGAAATGCTGGAGGAAATGGGGGGCGGATAAAATGGAATATTGGATAAGCGAAGGTCGGATAAGTGAGACTCTACTGTACATTTATCCCTCAGCTTGTTATGAGTATTACTGCACAGCAGAAACTGATCTGGCAATAAAGGCTCTTTTCCCTTGTTTTCCAGCTGGACATAACCGGGGTCGGCTTCCATGTTTCAAATGGATGAAGGCTTGATGATAGCAGAAGCCCTACAGTCCTCCAAAGCCAAATCTGTACTGAAACGCCATGGCGATGGCTTTGCAGCTAGAATTGATATGCCTTTTTGTGCTTTCCATTACACACCTGAGTAATCAAATATCCAAATCTCATGTCCCACATTGACATTTCTTTGTGCCAACATTATTTTTAGCCTCACCTGTCCATACTGAAATTAAACTATTTGGCTTTGACAACATCACAACATAATTACAAGTATTGTGGTACTGTAGAAAAATCATATGGCTCACCCAAGTAGATTACAAGATATTGCAGAAGTGTAACAAACGAAGCAAAGAACAATAAAGGTAGAGATGACAGAGAGAAAAACATTTCTTACAAAGCAGCACTATGGAGGAAACAATGCCAAAAAGTCTAGAAACAATTCAATTATTGGTGCAATAATTTGTTTCAAGTTGGATTCTGTCAATTAGTAGAATATTTGGCATACTATCTTTTTTGCTATATAATGATAAAAGCAGCCATTTTGTGGAGACAGACAAAATACCATACATGTTTAGTGTTACACTGAGATATTTTTGGAAGCGTATTAGCATGGAATAAATACAAAATAAAGCATGTCTGTGATATCACCAGTTTTGGAGGCTTGAAAGTAACATTATATAGACATTTCCACAAGAAAGAGTGATATTACACACAACATCAGCTTCTAATTTTGAATCTAATCTGTGTCCAGTCCTTCAGATAACAGGTGACATGATATAACTGAAAGGTATCTAGCAGATGAGGGGAAAGGCCTATATTTGCATGGGCAAAAAGAACACATTTTATCTGGCCACATACAATAAAAAATAAGAAAACAAATACTGCACTTCCTCAACTATATCTTGTGACTCTTTAAAGTGGACCTTTGAATATTTACATATAAACAGATATAAGGTTAGGTACCTGACTTCCATTTGCCTGCATCTGTTTTGGTGTTTCTTGAACTGTAGGAGTAACTGTGGTTGAGTAAGTATAAGCTACCTGTGGGATAAGAATAGTCTGCTTATTGGCAGCAAGAGCTCGTAAGCATGGAACACTGTTCTGGTCAGCAATGGCAACAATTGTAGGTAACTGGGCAGTGACTGTAGGTATAGCAATATTAATGGGATTGGCACTTTGTGGGATTACATTTACAACTGGTTCAGAGTCTGTAATACTGCTGTCTTTTTGTGGTTCTTTTTTTGCACAAGTCAAGTTCAAAGGTTCTTCTTGGACAGAATAAGCACTATTCTGGTAAACACTAGTTATGGTAGATCGTTCCAATGACTCTCCATGTTGCTTTGGTAGTGAAAGGTCAAGAGGTTCTATTTGTGGCTCTTCTTGGGTATCTTCATTAAGGTACGAATAACCCTGTGAATTTCTAGAGGAAGAGAGGTTAAGGGGTGATGGGGGCGGTGTGTTATTCCGTGAGCCGTTTTGAGTGGATCCTGTTGAAACAGCCGGTGGTTTATCTGTCTTGAGAGGGCTCACAGAACCAGATGTGCTGTCCTGATGTTCATTTGTAAGTCCCGTATGGTCATCTTTATCAACAGTATCTTTTAATTTGTCGGGCTCAGGAGAAGATGGTCCAGATGATGGTACAGAAATTTGGCCAGCTTGCATTTTTTTGAACCACTTTTCTACTACATCCAATGGCAAATTTACTGAATCGGCAATTTTTGTGAGCTCTTCTGAGCTTGGCTGTGCATTTAATGCGTAATAGGCTTTCAGAAGGGATAAAAGGTTTTTTAAAGGGGGTTGACCAGGGGAAAGGTTAGCCTCCCCTGCTTCTGTTGAAACAGCGGATTCGGACTTCTCAGCGTCTACGTCACTGAGCTGAGACGGCTGAGTGGGATTTTTGATATTATAGTGCTTTGATTCTTGAAGTGCATTAGGCTCTCCTGGACAGTCATCATTTAGAAGGCAAGTGCTATCTTTTGTCTCTCCTTCAAAGCTTTTCTCTTTCTCAGACTTCACTCTAAGATCTTCTGGCAACTTCTCCATTTTACAGCTGTTTGCCGGGGCAGGGTTTTCTTTTTTCAGGTTCTGTGGCACAACCTGAAGCTGACTAGGCTGCTCCAAGCTGTAGTTGATAATAATTTTGGTTGTTCCATCTTGGTCAACCAAAGGAAGACTGATAGCTGAAATGAGGGAATGTCCAGCTTGTTGTATGGATGCAGTGTTGATTGTTTCTTGTTCTTTGGATGCAAAATTGGCGTGACTGTTCTCCAATACTTGCCTTATAATGTTGCCATCTACGGCAACTTTGAGTACATTTTGAATGTCACTTAAGTTGATACTTATTGGAGACACCAGACCAACGGTTGGCAAAACAACAGCTTGCACCACACCCTGAGTAGAACTGGTTGCCTGCAATTGGCTACCACCACTGAAAACCCCATTTTGCAGAGGGGCCGAACAGTTGATTCCTGAAGCAACCACTATAGGCTTGAATTCATAATCCACAGGTTCAGTTTTAATTTGGTTTACAGGGAGTTGTTCTTGTAAGGGCTTGTTCTCCATTTTTTGTCGTACTTGTGGCTTTGCTGGGCTACCCGGAGATGCAGAAAGGGAAGGGGAAGAGCACTGAGATGTCTTCAGTCCCGTTCGTGTTCGTCCATTCACAGGCACCAGACCAATACATTTCTTACTGCTTATGTGGGAGCTATAGGAACCAGAATGGGAAAAACGTTTCTTGCAGTTTGGGCACTCATATGGCTTCTCTCCTATATAAATATAAACAAACCAACAGACAAGAGATACCGTGACAATATAATCTTAGTTAAGTTTACAATTTTAGCAATCTCAGTTAACAAGTTGGAGCTTGGCTCCAAAGAACCAAGAGAGGGGGAGAAAAAAATCAAAATATATCATTATATATTGGGGAGCCCCCAGTGGCGGAAATCCTTGTGCTGGTAGGACTGGTCGACCGAGAGGTTGGCAGTTCGAATACAGGGAGCGGGGTAAGCTCCTGTCTGTCGAGCTCTAGTTTCCCATGAGGGGACATGAGAGAAGCCTCTCACAGGATGGTAAAAACATCAATCATCCGGGTGTCCTCTGGGCAACGTCCTTGCAGGCGGCCAATTCTCTCACACCAGAAGCGACTTGCAGTTTCTGAGGTCACTTCTGACACGGAAAAAAAAATCATATAGTTGAAGAATTGGGTAGTAATTCATCTGAATTCATATCTGTGAAGAAGTGTACGGTTAAAAGTTCAAACCACTTTTTAAATGCAATTCCTTGCTAATCAAGATTCACAGGATTGTTTGTGTTGTGCCTCTTTTGAGAGACAGAAAGTGGCATATAAATAATAATGTCTCAAAAGGCATTAATGTAAAATTTCTTGGCAGTCTGGTGTGTGTGTGTAGTGTCACACAGTCTCACAAATACAAATGCTATAGATCCCAACTTTTTAAACTATGTCTGAAGTCTCATGCAAATTGTAGTGCTAGAAGCTATTTTTGTGTCAGGAGCAACTTGAGAAACTGGAAGTCGCTTCTGGTGTGAGAGAATTGGCCATCTGCAAGGACATTGCCCAGGGGACGCCCGGATGTTTGATGTTTTACCATCATGTGGGAGGCTTCTCTCATGTTTCCTCATGCGAAGCTAGAGCTTGACAGACAGGAGCTTACCCTGCTCCACGGATTCGAACTGCCAACCTACCAGTCGACCAGTCCTGCCAGCACAAGGTTTTAACCTACTGCACCACCGGGGGTTCTCTTCTATATGATGAATTTTTTTTCCGTGTCAGGAGTGACTTGAGAAACTGCAAGTCGCTTCTGGTGTGAGAGAACTGGCCATCTGCAAGGACGTTGCCCAGGGGAAGCCTGGATACTTGATGTTTTACCATCATGTGGGAGGTTTCTCTTATGTTCCTGCATGGGAAGCTAGAGCTGAGATGGGAGCTCACTCTGCTCCCCAGATTCGAACTGCCAACCTGTTGGTCAGCAGTCCTGCTGACACAAGGGTTTAACCCATTGCGCCACCAGGGGCTCCAAATATTTAGATAAACTCTACATCATTAAAGTTAAGCCTCGAAAAGAAGCATGCACATCCACCAGCTCAGCTAAACCAATAACGTGTTACTGTTAATTTTTCCTTCCCAAAGAACGAAGTTTTAGAAAATGGCAAAACCCAAGATTTCTCATCATGAAGAGCAATCATACTTTTTGCTGCTTAGCTAATAAATCAGCTATACATCTTAATTGTTTTGATACTCTACTGTAGTTCTCTCGTGTATGGTATTTCCTTATATTATCCATATACTTTTACTTCATTTACTTTATCTGATTACTGACTACCTGTTAATAAACAGCTTTAAATTGCAATGTAGAGGTAGACAGATAGCACTATAAGTAATAGGAAAACTAGAACAATACTGGCAAGCGGCATAGGATATTTACCACTGTGGATGCGTAGGTGTTCCTTTAAGTGATGTTTATATTTGAAAGCTTTTCCACATTCAGTGCACTTAAATTTTCGGTTACCACTAGACTGAGTCACATGTCTCTGTAAAAGCAGAATGGGAAGCTCAATCAGCAGACAAAGGAAAAGGCGTATGACAATCTCTTTATTTGCAGAAGAAAAAGATAAATTCAAATTTTAATAGAGTGAAATGAATCATCAGATGATTGAAGGTACTGCTTGTGAAAAATAAACAAGTAAGAAAACAGGTGAGCAAAGTTAGAAAAGTAAGCTGCAAAAATCACTTCGCCCTGTATCAAAATTTCAGGAAAATTGCCATTTTTACATGCCTAGGAAATTCAGCAAGACATTCCCTCATTCTGTTTGTAAAAGAGAACCGAAGAATCTGGGTTACGAGAGAAAGAAACATTTCAGCCTATTTAAATTTTAATTATTTAACTTGATTTTTCCATTTACATGCTTCCAGCTCTTACTGTTGCTCTTGAATTCCTTTATGTAACGACATCACAGGACTGCTCTAGGGAAGATGGGCCAGTAACAAACGTACTCAGTCACAAAGCATTCTCCAGGTAAATGCACAGAAATATACTTCAAAAGTTAGTGGCGCTTATAACTAAAGATTGATATTAATAAATGATGTCCCCCACAATTAATCATTGCATTTAAAAGAGGGCATATTGTCACATATTAAACTTTTTCCAATGAGACTTAGTGTTAGAGTCACACTTATTTTAGGATAGTCACAGCTAACAGAGAGATATCTAAGATGCTTGCAATAGATACATAGGTCGAGCATCCCTTATCTGAAGTGCTTGTATCCATTAATGTCTCTTTCAGTATATAGCAATGCAGAGCACTACAGGAACAGGAGATAACACAATAAGGTATTTCAAATGAGCACTACACAAAGGAGGGTGGGGTTCAATCCCCATTGGTCATAGGTTGCATCTACACTGTAGAATTAATGCAGTTTGACACCACCTTAACTGTCATGGCTCAGTGTTATGAAACCCTAGGAATTGTAGTTTGGTGAGGCATCAGCTCTCTTTGGCAGAGAAAGAAAGAGATCTTGTTAAACTACAACTCCTAAGTGGGTTGTTGTAGGTTTTTTCGGGCTATACGGCCATGTTCTAGAGCAGGGGTCCTCAAACTAAGCCTGGGGATCGGATACGGCCCTCCAAGATCATTTACCTGGCCCTCGCTCAGGGTCAACCTAAGTCCGAAATGACTTGAAAGCACACAACAACAACAATCCTATCTCATCACCCCAAAGTAGTCCCACACTTCCCACTGAAATACTAATAATTTTGTTAAAATTGTTCTTCATTTTAATTATTGCATTGTTTTTAAGTGTTTTTTTGCACTACAAATAAGATACGTACAGTGTGCATAGGAATTCATTCATGTTTTTTTCAAGTTATAATCTGGCCCTCCAACAGTTTGACGGACTGTGACCTGGCTCTCTGTTTAAAAAGTCTGAGGACTCCTGTTCTAGAGGCATTCTCTCCTGACGTTTCGCCGGCATCTATGGCAAGCATCCTCAGAGGTATGTTTGCCATAGATGCAGGCAAAATGTCAGGAGAGAATGCCTCTAGAAAATGGCCATATAGCCCGAAAAAACCTACAACAACCCAGTGATTCCGGCCATGAAAGCCTTTGACAATACATACAACTCCTAAGATTTCATAGCATTGAGTTATGGCAGTTAAAGTGGTACAAAACTACATTAATTCTACAGTGCAGATGCACTCTTAGAAAAGCTGCTGTAACTGGAATGACTACTCCATATTATGTTTAGTTTGGTATTTTTTCAGTTCACCAAATTTCATGTCCATTGTGAGACAGCCCAGATTAATGGTGTGCAGTGTGGATAGGAAATGTGTGGCTTTCCAGATTATACAGCAACTTTCACTGGCCTTAGAACAGTAAATGATTTGGGGCTTATAGGAACGGCAGCTAAAAAACAACTGAATGGCCACATATTTTCCAAGGCTAGTATAGTTTTTACCTCTTTTTAATGTACTTCATTGAAAAAATAAAACTAGCTCACATTAAAAACAGTGTGAAGAAATAAAATGTTCAGAGCTAGTGTTACTTTACTGCTAGTATGAATTTATTAGAGAACGATCTAGCCAACATTCAGTTTTTTAAAAATCCCATTGATGTATACCACACTAGATCAAGGCAAAAAGATTGAGTAGCATGTGTCCCACTGACATTGATGGCATATGTTTAGCTTCTCTATGGAAATTAATGGAACCTAAACGTGCTTAATTGCAGCTGCCTTGTGTCCCTATAAATACTAATCTACATTTAGCGTAAAGAGCATTTACCAAAGGTTTGCAATGAAAAGTCCTCCATTAACTTTAATGGAATTGAATTGCACCTGCAGTTTGTATGACAGAATGCTCAATATACCTGACAACGACAAAGAAACAAGTGGAATTAAGGTTGCTACACTGAAATTATGACCTAAAGCTCCCAGTCAACTAACATAATGCAATTAAGAGCATCTGTAATACGGCCTTAAATCCAATTGCTAGTCCCAACTAGACTAGATGCATTGAAACTATGGAAGTTATGTCATTACCTACCACTGATTCTGATGACATGGACATAAAAAGCATCTAGCTAACCAGAACCTTATCCCTGAGCCTTTTTTTTTTTTGTGTGTTTCTGTGTTGTATCTAAGCCCATTTCTTAGATACTGAGGTTCGCCCCAGTGCTTCCTGCCTGAGCACTTGTAGAGCTTTTAGAAAGCACACATGGAGGTCTTTGAACCAAGACCGGAGGCTGTAAACATGTCTTTTCACATTATAGCATTAACACTCTCCTGCCTCTTTTCAGGCTGCTAATTTCACAATGCATTAGTTAGATCTGGCTCTGCCTTGAGGCTCAATAAGGTTGTCGCTGCACATGGATCGTGGCTCAAAGTCCTCTACCACTGCTGGTTTTGTCGAAGGTGACTGCATCCAGCAGCTCTTGCAGCACCAGTTGCTTCATGAATGCCTGATTCTGCGAGTGTTCAGAGAAAGGGAAGGAGGGGCGACCAGAGACTTCCTAGATTTTCCTGACTATTCCCACAATGTCTGGAACTCAGCACAGATCCAGGCGTTTAAGAATCTGCCACCAGGAAGCAGCCACTGGCTGTGGCAGGCACTATGGCTGCTTCTCTCTCCTCATCCTCCTCATTCTTGTTCTTCTTCTGGGCATGGGAATGCAGGTACTACTCCTGTCTTCTCCTGTGATGATGGGCTGGATGGGCACCATCAGCACGTCACTCTTTTCCAAAAAGGGTGGCAAGCTGTTTGCTTTCAGTCTCAGATTAGAGATGGCCCTTTTATGGCTTTTAGACAGAGGCACTAATTCAGACCTTTGGTAGCCAATGAAATATAAATCACAAAATGCTATTAATCAGATGAAATACTGACCAGCACATGTTGTGCTTCAAATATTAGCCCTGTTTCTGGATATACTTGACCTGCTCATTCCAAAGGTGGCATCGGTTTCCTCCAATCAACTTGGGTTTTTGGGATATATATGTCATCTACCAGTTGCCAAAACCCTCCATGATAACCATATAGCCAGTCTGAGTCCCTCTATGGAGGTTGAGAAGATCGGGACATAAACGTTTTAAATAAATAAATAAATAGATAGATAGATAAACAAATAATATCTAACAAATTAGAATTGTTGTGGTCTATCCAAGGCAATTTTCAGAATCAGTGCCCCAAATAACCACAGGAACTGGCCTAAAAGCCAAAGCACTATGAATTTATTTTGGCTTGGGTTGTGTTAAAGGTAAACGTTTCCCCTTGACATTAAGTCTAGTTGTGTCCAACTCTGGGGGGTGGTGCTCATCTCCATTTCTAAGATGAGCCGGCATTGTCCGTAGACACCTCCAGTGTCATATGGCCGGCATGACTGCATGGAGCTCCATTACCTTCCCGCCAAAGCAGTACCTATTGATTTACTCACATTTGCATATTTTCAAAATGCTAGGTTGGCAGAAGCAGGGGCTAACAGTGGGAGCTCCCCCCACTCCCCAGATTTGAACAGCTGACCTTTTGATTAGCAACTTCAGCAACTCAGCTGTTTAACCCGCTGTGCCACCGGGGGCTAAAAGGCTATATCTTAATTTAGAAGACATACAGTAATCATTTTCTCAACACCTTCATTATGCATTGTAACAAATGAGCAGGAAAAGCAGCAATAAAGAGGGGAAAAGCATACACTGACAATTTGATCTTATGAGAATGCATCATTCTATTAAAAGGATTTCTTGGAACCCTTTGCTTACAGATTAATAACTAGAATATGTTTAGGCAAAAAGTTTCCAGTGCCAAGAGTAGAAGAAATTTGGATGGTATTTATGGACAGAAAGAGGTATGTTACAAATTACAAATATTTAGTTTCACACAAATAAACCAACATAGTGTATTTATTTATAAATAAATTGAATTTTAGTTTTTGAGTTTTAAGGTTTTTTTTAAAAAAAATTGATGCCAGAAAATCAAATCACTATGCACCACACAATACAACATATATGGCAGGACCACATAGTATGGTTGCAACCTAGGTTTATTTGTAAAAGCAGAACTAAAAAGAATGGCAAAAACATTAAAAGCAAAATCTGTCTCTATTGTTTTTATTCTGAAATCGGTCTTCTTCAGGCATGAATATCATTGTCCATACATTCATTAACAATGCAGTCAAGATAACTTAATGATGCAAGTTGAAGAGTATGGCAAAGACACACTGAAGCTCACCACATGCAGCTTTTTACAATCAGTCTGGGGCTGACATACACAGCTACCAGAATCATTTTGGCATCTTGGAAACTAGAGGTATGATAGCTCTCTATTGCCAGCCAATTAGCCTCAGGAGCTGTGATTTTGTGAAAAATGAGGAATCTTTCCAGCAGGGTAGCCTTGTTAATCTTTGGCAGCAAAACTAGCAGAAGGACTTGTGGCACCATGAAGACTAACACATTTGGCATGAGCTTCCGTGGCCTTCAGCCCATTTCATCAGATGTAGTAAGTGAGCTCCAAACCACAGCTCAGGTTGATTTTTTTTTCATCTTTAAAGTATTATTCTTAAAAATGAGAACTTCCAAATAGGGAGTAAATGTCAGTTTCTGTGAAAACAACCAGACCATTTTTTGCTTTCAATATCATATAGAGTTGTGTCTACATGACTTACGGTCATACTCTATATGACTTACTGTTACCCCTTTCATTTTATGACAAGGCTATTTTTTAGCAAAAAAAAACCCCTATCATGCTTATCCCCAAGGGACGATTCCACTGGATTCTAATATATCTATAGAGTAAATGTTAAAGGTAAAGGTTTCCCCTTGACATTAAGTCTAGTTCCGTCCGACTCTGGGGGGTAGTGCTCATTTCCATTTCTAAGCCAAAGAACCGACGTTGTCTGTGACACCTCCAAGGTCATATGGCTGGCATAACTGCATGGAGTGCCATTACCTTCCCGCAGAAGCAGTACCTATTGATCTACTCACATTTGCATGTTTTTGAACTGCTAGGTTGGCAGAAGCTGGGCCTAACAGTGGGAGCTCATGCTGCTCCCTGGATTTGAACCGCCGACCTTTTGGTCAGCAAGTTCAGCAGCTCAGCAGTTTAACCTGCTGTGCCACCACAGAGTAGCCAATTATAAAATAAAAGTCCAGCATGTAAGGTCTTGAATCAAAGATATCTAAGCTGCCCTCAGTTGTGCAATCCTGAGATAATCAGAAGACTGAATTATTGTTAGTTCAGCTAGAGAAGACTTGCTGAATTAACAGCAATTCGATAAGTCTATAATTATGTAAGGCCAATAATACAGTAAATCTTCTCTAGTTGGGCCTAACACTCTTTTTATCTTGACCAACTACTGATATCCAATTATATTGTGTATTGTTTGTATGCTGGATGCCTGTCTGATCACCTCTGAAGTGTGATATCTAGACATATTTTTTGACCTTTAAAGCTCTTCATGGTTTGGGTCCAGGTTACCTACAGAACCATCTTTTTCCATACAACCCCGCCTTGAACCCTGGTGTCCTCTAGGGTAGTGGTTCTCAACCTGTGGGTCCTCAGGTGTTTTGGTCTACAACTCCCAGAAATCCCAGGCGGTTTACCAGCTGTTAGGATTCCTGGTAGTTGAAGGGCAAAACATCTGGGGACCCACAGGTTGAGAACCACTGCTCTGGGGGGAGGCTATTGCAGCCCACCAGAACCCAGCTGGCGACCATCACCCAGAGGACCTTTTCTTTAGCCACTGCATGACTGTGAAACGACCTGTTGGAACAGCTCTAACAGCTGTCAGAATTTAAAACACATTTGAAGACCTCTCGCGTTTGAAGGCCAGCAGGCCTACCCAGCCAATTTTAATCACGAATTTTAAAATTGTGTCTTATGTTTAATCTTTGTTCTGTGTATTTTAATATGTATTTTGTAGAAATATGTTTTAATATGTGTATTTTACCATAAGGTTTTAGATAATTGTGTGTTTTTGTAACCCACTGTGAACCATGAGGAGAGGAAGGTAAGAAATAAAATTATTATTGTTGTTGTTGTTGTTGTTAAATGGAAGCTATCTTTACACTTTCCATGACAAAGAGAATTATTCTTGTGTTGTCAAAGGCTTTAATGGCCAGACTCGGTGGAAACTGTGAGTTTTCCGGGCTTTATGGTCATGTTCCAGAAGAATTCTCTGCTGTCATTTTACCCACATCTATGGCAGCCATCCTCAGAGGTTGTGAGGTCTGAGAATGATCCTCTTTTGTTCCTGGGTAATGACTGTGCAAGTGCTCAGAGCCTACACCTGGATGCAATCAGCGGTGTAGCTTAGCTCCTGAATGCAAAACTTCACACTAGTCCTGTGGTAGAACTAAGCAGCTCTCTTAAATCTACTACTAAGTCATAACTAGGAAATATAGCCTTATATTTGTATACAATTTCTTCTATGACCACCTTGGCATTCAAAACCATTGAAATGGGGCACTGATTTTGCAAGTGTGGATAGAGCTAGAAAGAAAATAAGCATGGTTTTAAGCCATTCTATGGCTTAAGGGTGGTGATGTAACACAGCACCCAGGAATGTCCTTTAAAAAGACAGATTTGTTCAAAACATACTGTGTTCATCACCTGGGACCACACTGAGATTCACTGAGTTGAGTTATTTTCAGTTGTTTTCCTATGATGCTGGAAGTACTGGGCCTAGCTTGCTTCTACGAAGTCCTGTAAACAATTTTGGAGTATAGCTTCAAAGTTCAGCCAACCTAGGCCAGCTGGTGTGTCCGGCACATACCTACATGGCAGGACTGCTTTGATTTATCCGTTGTACCACAGTGCAGCTGAGATTCTTGCCACTCCTATCGACTTTATTCACAGAATGTGGGCTAGGCTGGTAGTATCAGCCAAAAGCTGGGCTGATGAATTACTGGATCCTTATCATACTAAACTCTTAGCTTTAATCCATAAAAGTAGTAATCTTTGTACTTTACTCTATGCATAACTACAACTCTCACATCCTGTTCCAAAACTCTTGCAGTGGCTATACATTCCGACAATGTCTATATCTGCTTTTTAAAAAAAATTGGAATGTTGAAAATCGGCATCTTCTGGTACAGGTTATCTCTGATGTAACATTCTCAGTCAGTTTGGATTTGATGTAACACCTCCTAACGTCTCAATTCCCAACTTCCCACCCGATAACCATTTGATGAAACAACCACTCAACTTCTGATTTCCAGTGAACAGTGCTTTGCTACTGAAACACAGCTTATTAGTAAACCACGATTTTAGCAAATATTATTTCCCCTGTAAATGAAGGAATATAACCATGGTTTGAAGTAGTTTAATTCCATGTTTGGGGTCCGAGATGGTGTTTAGCTGGTTCAAAGGTAAAAGCAAGCTATGGTTCACTCAAATGGGAGTCAAGATAGAATTCGACGCAAAAGATGTAGCATACTCGTGATTCTTAAAAGGATTTGGTTTGGAGGGTTGGACATATTATGTTTGAAATTCCTGTTATTTCACAAAGAAAAACATTTAAACATTTTAAAACCTTTTCATGGATTTGTTGTGGACTGAATGACTACAGAAAAATAATGGTTTTCATATTCGCATGAAGAAGCTATGTAAATTTCAAACAAGGAAATCAGAACCATGAGCCTTTCTTGCAGAAAGGATAGGGTGAAGTCAATATTTAACATTATAAATCTTCATTACAGAGGCTGGATGGTCATCAAATGAGGATGCTTTGATTGTACTTTTCTTGCATGGCAGGGAGCTGGACTGGATTGTCCTTGTGGTCTCTTCCAACTCTCTGATTCATAAATGATAAAGCATGGTGAGCTGACCAAGTTGATTAGTCAGTGAGGCTAGGGAAAGAATAATACTGAGATAACAGAATATACTCTAGTACAGAACACTGCAATGACTGTGGTGTTTTTAGACATACATAAAATCAAACTAGAACACGCACAAAAAACAATAACGTTTAAGACAATCATTGTAAATATCTAACCACACAATATACAATGGTATCACTTACTTGATCTCTTCCTGATTTATGTGATGTCATATGGCGTTCAAGTTGCGTTCTGTATGCAAATGTGTAACTGCATAAAGAGCAACTGAAGTTATCTTCATTTTTTTCATGGCGATATTTGATATGTTCCTTCAGAGAGGTAAAGCGTTTGTACCCTCTATCACAGTAAGGGCATGTAAGCAGCTGGGAAAATGCATCTGGCGTGCCTGAATAAGAACAAAAAAACCCAAACATTTTTCCTTTGGAATTAATTAAAGAACAGGGTAGAAACTAATGTACCATGACATTCTGGATGTGATCCTCAGATGGCTGTCGGACTTGTGCAAGGTGTCAAAAACTTTTAAATTCTTGGGCTAATATTTGGTGAAATCATCCAACTGGAACGTAAGGAAATACTTGTCCACACTTCCACACTCCTACCACATAGAGGAGAAGTACAATAATCAATACTTCCATGAAGATGACAGCCAAAATTTGCACTGTGGTACTCCAAAACATAGTTTGCTAGCTAGGATGATAATTTTTTAAAAAGTGAAAGTATATGATAAAATGAGTTTAAAACTTTCTATATAATACTGAAATGAAACAAGGAGAAACGATGGGCCTAAAGGGCTTAAAGTTCACATAGTATTGCAATAATAAAAATATCTTCTACAAAATGATGTACTGGTAATACACGATCCCAGAAAAGTTGCTATTATATTATTACTGTATTTATATACCGCTTTTTCTCTCTACAAAGGAAACTCAAAGTGGCTTACATTAAAAGTTGTAAAGAATGTATAATCGAGCTTCAAATATTTGTTTGAAATGTCAACAGCAATGTCCTGGATTTGTGTGAGAGAAAAAATTTCTGGGTTCAAATACATGCTTTGATTCAGAGGATATTAAAGCCTAGAATACAGCTAAAACCAGAATTATTTCTTTAGGAATGTATAGACCAACAGATTATGGAAGACCTCTTCAATATACAGTTATGGTGGCAAGATGTATGGATTCTTTACGAATTTATACAAAAATTTTGGGAAAGGAAATTCTAAATAGGCCTTCCTAAGGATAAATAAAAGTTTCAAGCATGAAGGGGATCTTTTCTGCACTTACAGTATTGTGGGCTAGGCCCAGGATCTGCCTTTCATGAAAACACATTCCATAAGCCTCTACCTCCCACAATATAATAATAACTTTATTCTTATATCCCACCACCATCTCCCCAAAGAGACTTGGGGCAGCTTACAGATGTTACAAGGTGCCTAAAAAAACATAAAAGTGAACACAATATAAAATACAATAAAATAAAACACATGTACATATAAAAACATCAATTTGGACTCAATCAAGCTGTGTTCCCCCGTGGTGGTAAATGACTGTAACCATGGCTGGGCTCTAAACATTAGGAATAAGGTAAGTGCCAGCTGCCACAATGGAGAGAGGGCATGGGATAAAGTGCAGGATGTGCAACTACTACGTAGGAGAACTAGAGCTAAATATTCTCAAAGGCTTGATCCTCAAGTCTCTACGAAAGGAGGACAGTGTGGAAGCCTATCTAATTTCCCTGGGGAGGGAGTTACAAAGTTGTGGAACCACCACTGAGAAAGCCCTCTCCCTTGTCCCCACCAACCACGCTTGTGACGGTAGTGGGACTGAGAGGGCCTCCCCGACAGATCTTAGAGCCCGTGTCGTTCATAGGGTGGGATGTGGTCACGAAGACAGGCAGGACCTGCGCTGTTTAGGGCTTTATAGGTCATAACTATCACTTTGAATTGGGACCACAAACTTATTGGCAGTTAATGGAGTAGAGTAGGGGCATTGTGTGCTCCCTATAGCTGGCTCCGGTTAGTAACCTGGCAACTGATCTTTGGACCATGAATCCAGAAGTTCATGGAAGTTGCCTTTATCCAGTCTCTCTCTGGGTCACCCCATTCATCATGGTTACACATACTTTGTGTACCATTTTCAAAAAGCTAGAGGAGAGGATAGGGCATAGGCATCACTTCTGTTAGTCTAGTTGCCAATATCTCAATCTGGTTCAGTTCTTATATTCTTCTACTGTTACAGATGCACTATTTATGTTTCCAATTAAACCATCTTAGAATCAGAAACTGGCATGTCATTTACCATTTTCATCTTGGCCACTGGCTTCTGGCGTGCCTTGCCTTTGATCGTCTTCAGGTGCTTCAGGGTAGATAACCGCTGTATCTTCTTGCTGCAGAAATTCTTCAACATTAGGGTCATGATTTTGTTCATTTTCTGCATCAGAATCACATTCATCTTCTTTAGCTAGGGGGGACCATATGTAAACATTAACAGATGTTATAGCAAACCAATATTTAGGAACAAATATTTATTTCTAAAGAAGAGAGTTCATTACTTTTCATGACTCCTGAGAAAAATCTAAAAAATTGTATTCTGGTAGATTTTCCTTTTTGTGTATTTAATGTCTTATTTTTCTTCTAACACTTTGGATTTTTCATAATCAATGTGTTTATTCTTAAGATATTCACAAG